GGGGTGGGGTCGAAAATCCAACCCCCCCTTTGAAGATGGGGGGGGGGGGGGGGGGCGGGTGCTCTGCGAGCACGCGCCCCCTTTTGTGCATTCAGGTCATCCACTGGCGCGCTTCCTATCTCTTGACTATTGTGGACAATTCCTCCTGTAGAGGAACAGGCCCGACTTCAGCCTAGACGCGCGCTGCCCCCGTCGCAGTTAAGGGCCGCATCCCAGAAACAACCGCGAGCGCCCAAAGAAACACCGAAACATCGTCGAGAGAACATCGCCTCCCGCGGCCCGACATTTTTGAACATGCCCTCAAATTGTCCCGTGCTCTCCGCGGCGATGGAGAATATCCGGCGATCGAGGCCGCGAAAGGTTGGGGTGTCATGTAGAAGACGAACGAACGCCATAAACATAAACCTCTGGCGATCCACAGCGGATTGCTTGGATCTGCGCTGGGCCTTTACGATTGTGGTTTGGTTTTCTGCTTCGGCCGCGCGCCCAAACCTGCGGGAAGGCCCTCCCCGGCGCGCCTCGGCCGCGGAGGGATGGGAGAAGGGCGGGGGGGGGGGGGGAGGAGGAGGAGGAGGAGGAGGAGGAGGGGGGGAGGAAGAAGAGGAGGAGGGGGGAGGAGGAGGACGGAGAAGAAGAGAGGAGAGGAGGGAGGGGGGAGGAGGAGAGGAGGAGGAGGAAGAGGGGGGGGGGGGGGAGGAGGAGGGGGAGGAGGGAGAGGCGGAGGAGGAGAGGTAGGACGAGTGGGAGGAGGAAGAGGCGGAAGGGGGGGGAAGAAGAGGAGGCGGAGGAGGAGGAAAAGGAGGAGGAGGAGGGGGGGAGGAGGAGGAGGAGGAGGATGAGGAGGAGGGAGGAGGAGGAGGAGGAGGGAGGAGGAGGAGGGAGGAGGAGGAGGAGGGAGGAGGAGCGGGGAGGTGCGGGGAAGGAAGGAGCAGGACGACGACGACGACGAGGAAGAGGAAGAGGAAGAGGAAGAGGAGGAGGAGGAGGAGGAGCAGGTGGAGGAAGAGGAGGAGGGGGAAGATGAGGAGGAGAAGGAGAAGGAGGCGGGGGAGGTCGAAGAGGAGGTTTTTGTTAACATCTGACAGCTGGGACAAGCGCAGCGGCAGAGAGGTCGGGCGCACCGTGCGACGGCGCCGCCCGAAAAAAAAAAACGACTCTTTAGCCAGCCCTCGAAAATGGCTGGGAGCAGCGCCGAAGGTTCACGGCCATAACCCCGTGGCGCGCCAGGTGCGTGAAACATGGCACGTAAGGAGACCGTGCTCCGCGCGCCCTGTTCGGGGCACGGGGTGCCGCAATCCGTGCTCCGACGCCTAACCTACCCAACCACCCACTCTATGGGCGGCCGCTGGCGACGACAGCAATTTTCGTTCCTTGGCACCCTACGGGCAAGCAGCGGTGACGATCGGGCTGCTACCCGCCTGATTTCTTGAGAAGGGGTGCGGGGGGGAGGTGGAAAAGGAGGAGAAGGGGGAGGAGGAGGAGGAGGAGGAGGAGGAGACGCCAGTAGGAGGTGAGTCCAAGTCGCCCGAGCCCACCCTACAACAAATAAAATCAAAACTCGAGGGCCCCAGATTGGTACCAGCCAGGACCCAGGACCCTCAGCCGCTACCTAGGCGGCAGCCCACTCCTCAACCTCTCGAGGCGGGTCTCCTGGGCGCTGAGAGTCTCGGGGACCTCCGAGGGTCCCTGACAAGGGGCCTTGAACCCACGCACCCTCCCAGACTCCCCAGCGAAGCAAGCGCACCGCTCGCAGAAGACGTACACCCCCGCCTCGGCCATCCGATGGCCAAGGTCGCGGAACAAGGCCACGTCGGCAAAACGCCGCGCCCCAGAGTCCACCCCAGAGCCCGACGTCCAGGCGGGGCCCGTCTCAAGGACCCTTACCGCCGCCTCCAAAGCGACGTGGACCGCATCGGAGGTCGGCCTCCAATCGGAGCATCGCGAGAAAGCACGGGCGGCCTGCCAGCGCTGCACCTCGGTCGGTGTGCAGCGCGCCGAACAGGACCTGAGGGCGCGGAGACCAGCTGCAGTCCTTGTCGAGACACCACAACGCCTGCACCTCCATTCCTGGGCGGCACCACTCCTATACATGCTATGGCACGCAAGTGGCTCTCCAGGCTCTAAAATGGCAACGGGGGTCGGGCGGGGGCCAGGCCTCGGACGAGAACGAGCAGCCCTCTCCGACGACGACGACGCCCCAATCCCCAAGTCGATGGCCCGACCCCCAGCCCAAGCCAGATATTTGGCAAACTCCTGGCACTCCTTGAGCGCGATCCGAAACAGATCTGCTGTGCCCTGCCCAACCATCTGGCTGGCAGCACCAGCCTCGGCGAAGAAATCAGCCCAGGCATTGCCCAGGACGTACAAAAAAGGCGGGCCAGATCCAGGGGTCGCCAGGGCAGCCTCGGACAGGTCCCTATGGGCAGGACACCAGTGCGTCATGGGCGGGACCCCTCCACGACGCACGACCGCCGCGCGAATCTGCCGCCACACAGCAGCATGCTCAGCCCCTGGACCTTCAGACACCGCACTCCACTCCTGCGCTTCATTGGCCAGGCCCAAAAGATCGGTGACGACGACCTGCAGCGACGGGATATTTTCCACCGCCCGCAAGTATGCGTGCGACCCGCTCGGCGTCGCCAACCGTCTGACTGGCGCCTCCGAGTCTGCCATAGCACGCTCTTAGTGGCGTGCCCGACGCACTCAGCTGGACAACGCCCCAGCCGCACGCCCTAATCTCTGGTTGAGACGACCACATGCCTGACCCATCCGTGAAAGCAGCATTGGACCAATGCAAGGGATCATATTCCCAATCCCCCCACCAGAAAATCGGTGGGTCGCACGGAGGGTCAGGAGGTTTCATCGGGAGCAAAGGGAGCCCAACCGACAACTCAAAACTCTCAGGGTCCAGAGCGGCCCCTCGGCGCCCAACAGGCCCCTGGTCCAAAAACCTATCACGAGTTTTGGCCAGGGACTCAGAAATCGGGACTTCATCTTCAAATTCCAGCAACTGCTCACGCAGCACGGGGCACTCGAGAAGCAGGTGACCACACGTCTCTCTGTCCGCTCCGCAGCCCCTACACTTAGGATCGGGGGCGAGCCCTTTGTCATGCAACTTGGCCTGGGGCCACCAGGAGTCAGACCAGAGAGACCGAAGGATTCCAGCCGACCTGGGATGTTTGAGCGCGGCCCACTTGGACCCAGCACAGGCGCGGATCCCACGGGGCCACAACTCAGCGTCCGCGGGGAAACCAGGAAAATGAGCCTGGATGCGACGCATCTGCCAGCGCTGGATGCCAGCACGTAGCAACTTGATTAAATGTTGCGGATCAGTCTGCAGCAAAGAATACACCATTCCCTGATCGGAACGGATAAGCACAGACGACTCCATGCACCAGTCAACGCGGAGGAGAGACAAAGCCACCACCGAAAGCGGGCCCGAAGCGTGGAGCCAGGAGAATTTCTGACCCCGCTTTGCGGCCATGGCCCTCCAAGCCCTCTCGAGGGTACCCAGGGACACAGTTTGCATCCACACCACCTGGGCGTAGTGTTTGACTGGAGCAATCGTGGCTTCAAAAATCGGGTCACACCACGGATCCGACTGAGACGCCAAGTAGACCGTCAAGGACGCCCCACGACCCTTGGCGCCAACCAAAGCCCCCGCAGCAGCTCTCAACGTCCGAAGCTCGGCGTCCGTGGTCCCAGAAACTGCACAGCAGTGACTAGCGCCTGGCGGAGGAGGAGGAGGAGGAGGAGGAGGAGGAGGAGGAGGCGGAGGAGGAGGAGGAGGAGGCGGAGGAGGAGGAGGAGGAGGAAGAGATGGAGAGGAGGAGGAGGAGGGGGTGGTGGAAGAGGGGCAGGAGGAAGAGGGGGAGGAGGACGGGGGGGGGGAGGGGGAGGGGGAGGGGAGGGGGAGGAGGGGAGGAGGAGGAGGAGGAGGAGGAGGAGGAGGAGGAGGAGGAGGAGGAGGAGGAAGGAGGAAAAAAGGAGAGGAAGCCCTCCGCGGCGCCTCGGCGTGCTGCGCCGGCGGCCCGGCGCCCGCCGCGCCGCCGCTCGCCGCGGCGCTCGCCGCGGCGCCGCCGGCCGCGGCACCCGCTGCGGCGCCCGGCGCCGGCTGCAGGTTGTCCCGCCTCACCTCCGAGGGTTCGAGGCCCGAGGTTTCCAGACCCCCTCGGGCAATGACAAAAATCACAGCGGGAAATGTTTCGTATTTTTCGGCCCCCATGGGGCGGCCCTCACCCGGGCCTCGGGGCCGTCAAAAAACGACTCGGGATGAGACACTGGTCCCAGGGAGTGGGTCGAGAACTCTGGGGGTCGACGTCATGACAAAGTCATGGCGTCGGGGGTCTGGGTTTCTAGAGACCCTCCGGCTGTTTGAAGCTCGAGGTTTCTGTAGAAACCTCGGGCTTCGAACCCTCGTCCTGGCGAGTTTCTACGTAGAGGTACCCTGGGAAAAAGCCTCGGGTTTCTTCAGGATCCTCGCGCTTCTAGAGAGACCCTGAGATCCTGGCGTCTCCGTTGTTTCGAGCAGGGCGTCTTCGCCCAGCTGCGGGCACCAGGGCCCCAACACCTCGGGGTCGCTCTTGGCCGCGATTGTCCGCAACGTCGGATCTCGGGGAACGTTTTCGTCACTTCTCGGCGGGGTTCCAGCCCCAGGGTGCTTTCCAGCAGCTGCGCCTCGCCGACGGCGTTCCAGGGGAAACGTCGGATCTCGGGAAACGTTTTTGACACTTTTCGGCGGCTTTCCAGCCTGGGGTGCTTTCCAGCATCTGCGCCTCGACGACGGCGTTTCAGGGGTGCCCGGATCGTTCCAAGCTATGATCCGAAACCACGACTTGCTGTCGCCGTGAGTAAAAAACAAAGACGGGAGATGTGTGGCCGTTTTCGGCCCCTTGGGGCTCTCACCGGGCCCCGGGGCCGACAAAAAACGACTCGTGATGAAAAACCGGTCTTGGGGAAAGGGTCGGAACTTCAGGGAATCATGACAACGCATGTATGGGCTACGAGGACGGCACCCATGCACCGTGCCGAATTTGGAGTCTCATCAAGCCCCACTCCCTCGCGGTACGGCGTGTGCAAATTATGCACCGCACCGTGCCTGGGCCGAGGATCGACGACGCCTCGTGAGACGCCGATGCGGTACGGTGCATACGAAGTCTTCCGCGGATCACCGAAAGCTGCCGGCCGTCCTGCGCCAGCAGCACCAGGTACCACCGGCTGCGCGCACGAGTGGCCCCGGGTAAGGAATGGGCTCCACTGAGATCCTGGCGCAACAATGTTTTCGCAACGGGCGACTTCGCCTTGTTTCGGGCACCGGGACCAGCACGGATCGATGTAGCTCGAAAAACGCCTAAGAAAGATTGGGTCCAGAGCTCAGGTCGCGTTGTTTCGTGATGCTGTATTTTCTTAGTCACGTCGGATCTCAGGGTCTGGCGTGCGGCCAGAGCGCTGCTCGCGGTGCGACAGCAGCGGTCCGCGCGGCTTTCGGGCTGGGGAGATCGTTCCCCAAACAGCGCTTGCGCTCAGGCGTTTTAACTTTTGTTCTAACGGATTGGGCTGGTGTGCCGGTCTGGAGGCTGTCGCCGCCGTCGTCACCCCGTCGCCACCTAGTCGCCGTCCGTCGTCTGGGCCTGTGTCGGTTTGGCGGCTATGTAGCCGCCGTCGCTTCCCCTTCGACGCCTGGTCGCCGCCCGTCGTCTGAGCACGTGTGCCGCTTTGGCGGCTACGTCGCCGCCGTCGCCGCTCCGTCGCCGCCGCGTCGCCGCCCGTCGTGTTGGCCAGTCTTGCAGTCTGGCGTTCTTTTGTTGCCGCCTACGCCGCCAGGTTGCCGGCTCGTTGCCACCCTAGATTATCCTTTTCTTACACAACCCCCCCCAGACTATCGGTCCCCATTGAAGTACTTCAATTTATATACGATTCTGCCCCATCGCCCACCCTGAATATGAACCCGCACCATCCCAGGAGGGCTGGTATCGGCCCCCCCCCCCCGCCATCTTCTGAAAAACAACTATGCGCGCACACTCGTTTGATCAAAAATAAAGTTGTCAATGCTCCCCTGCTAAAAATGAGACGAAGTGCGCAAGGGCGCGTAGTCGCGCGCGCATTCTCGGTGTCGTACGGATTTTCAATCGGGTGCCCAAAAACATGTAGCAGCATCGGGGTTCGCAACACGGATGTTCAAAAATTATCCAGGCGAAGGACCCAACCATATGAAATTGTGGGTACCGCAATTGTGAATATCTTCTTCGGTGAAGCTCCCTATGGGGCCACGAAGCGCTGCGCTGGGCGAGGGGGGAACGCATGCGGGCGGTAGCACTGGGGCCGTCGGTGAAGCTCCCTATGAGGCCATGAAGCGCTGCACTGGGTGGGTGAAAAAAACAAATTCGGCGTGTGGGGGACGCATGCGGGCTCCCCATGGGGCCACGAAACGATTTACTGGGTGTGCGAAACACATGCGGACGCTACCACTGGAACCGTCGATGGGACTCCCCATGGGGCCACGAAACGCTTTACTGGGTGGGTGAAGCGCAAGGAGGAGGGGGGGGAGGGCCACGAAACGCTGTACTGGGTGTGCGGGACGCGTGCGGGCGGTAGCACTGGGACCTCCGGTGAGCTCCCTATGGCGCCACGAAGCGCTGTGCTGGGTGTGCGGGACGCATGCGGACAGTAGCACTGGGACCTTCGGTGGGGCCCCATATGGGGCCACGAAACGCTGGGTGTGCGGGACGCATGCGGACGGTAGCACTGGGACCTTCGGTGCGGCTCCCCATGGGGCCACGAACCGCTGTTCTCGGTGGGTGAAACGCAGGGCGGAGGGGGATGAGGGCCACGAAACGCTGTACTGGCTGTGCGGGGCGCATGCGGACGGTAGCACGGGGACCTTCGGTGGAGCTCCGTATGGGGCCACGAAACGCTGCACTGGGTGTGCGGGGCGCATGCGGACGGTAGCACTGGGACCTTCGGTGGGGCTCCCTATGGGGCCACGAAGCGCTGCACTGGGTGTGCAGGACGCATGCGGACGGTAGCATTGGGACCTTCGGTGGGGTTCCCTATGGGGCCACGAAACGCTGTGCTAGGTGGGTGAAACGCAGGGAGGAAAGGGGAGGAAGGCCACGAAACGCTGTATTGGGTGCGCGGGACGCATGCGGACGGTGGAAGGAGGGGGAGGAGGAGGAGAGGAGGAGAACGCGGGGACCGTTACTTCAAGACGAAGGCCCAACACCACAGGATGGTTAGGAAAAACTTAGACATGTCAAGAATCCCTTGCCACCAAACAACGAAGTGTTCACGGGCGCGTGCCGGAATCCGTCCAAAACTTTTGGTCCCATGCGGATTTCAAGATCGAGCGTCCGAAAAACATGTAGCAACACAGGGTTTCGCAACGCGGATGAAGCTTGAACGCGCGCTCTTGCGAATTCCTTCGAAAACAACTGCGTTTTCAACTTTTTCCTCATAACATGCTACCTGACGGGCTTCGCGCGCGCGAGCGTTGAAATCGTTCGAACGCCTTTGCGCGCGTGCCGTCGCGAAAACCCTTTGGTGAAAAATCTGATGAACGGGGGCGCGCGCGTCGTCGCGCGCGCGTGCTGAAATCCGTCAACAAACTGTTGGATTCGTGCCAGCGTCAAAACCTAGGTGTCCAAACCACATATAAAAACAGCTAGTTTCGCAACGTCTGTTCTCAAACAGTTGCATTCGCGCGCGTGCGTCCTTTTCAGAAAACCACAGGTTGTTTGAACATGTTCATGGAATTCTGCCAGACGGGCCTCTGGTGCGGCACGCCGACATCATTCGCGCGCCCTTGCGCGCGCGCGGGGGGGGGCGCGTTCCGCGTCAGCGAATGCCGCACGGCCGCGTGCGCATGCCGAATCAGAAATAATTCGCCGACGCGAGGACGCCGTCATCGTCGCATGAGCGATCAGAACCAGCGCCCACACTGACCGCGCCGTCGTCGATGTAAATCAACATCGCCACCAGCATCGCGACGATCATCATCGCGTCTACCGTTGTCGTCGCTGCCATGGTACCGCGCCCGCCCAAATCGCCGACTCGCACTGAAGTGCCCGCTGGGATGCGCCCAGCGGTCAGCGCCGCCGCGGCGGCGTCGGTCGCGCCAGACTAGCAGGCCGCTGCTAGCACGCGCGTGCATGGGTCGGCGCGGCCGCAGACATGAACCTGCTAACGTCAAGCACCCACCGAAATCGCCACCGCATGGGTTTTGCAAAACAGGTTGCGGGTGGGTGGGCGGGATGATTTCGCGACCAGTGGAGATGGCCCAAAGCGGCGCAGAATAGTCAATTGCTCTGTTCCAAACAAGAAAACGAACTCTACCCCGCCCCCCTCCCCAGGACTATCCCATCCCATTTTTTCAAATTGCAATTTACATGCGAGTATGCCCCATCGTCCATCTGAACTCATACCACCCGGGCCGAGCCGGCATCGCCCCCCCCCCCGTCCGCCATCCATTGTAAACAAACACTACGCGCGCGCACTCGTTGATCAAAAGATCACAAATGTTCAAGAATCTCTTGGTACAAATGGGACAGAATGCGCGCGCGTCGTCGCGCGCGCATGCCAGAATCCCGCCAAAACCTTCGGTGCCATATGAACTGCAAAATCGAGTGTCCGATAAACTGTACAAACACATGGTTTCGCAACGCGGATTTTCCAGAAAAGCTTGCCCGCGCGCTCTCGCGAATCCCTGCGGAAGCCGTTGTTTTTTCTTCACGTTTGTCATGATGTGCGACCTCGCGGGTTTCGCCCGCGCGCGCATGCCGAAATCGTTCGAACGCCCTTGCGCGCGTGCCGTCGCAAGAATCCTCGGCATAGAACGGGGCGGAACGCGCGCGCGCGTCGTCGCGCGCGCGCCGCGATCTGCCAACAAATAACACGTTTCGTAGCAGCTTCAAAACTGAATGTCCAAGCCGCATTTCTTTAAACAAAATCTCAAAAAAAGAAAAAGGAGCAGAAAAAGCTTGGTTTCGTGACGGCAGTTATACAACAAGAGCGCGCGCCCGCGCACTTGCGAGCTCGTCAGCAAACAGCCCCGTCGCCAATATGCGCATGGGCTTGTGCAAAACTGGCCGCTCGCGCCGCATGCCAGGCATCGTTCGCGCGCCCTGTCGCGCGCGCTTGGGGCGGGGGGGTGGGGGGGGGGCGCGTTCCGCGTCGCATGATACCGCGCGGGCCGCTCTCGCGGGTCGGCCGCGCGCGCGCATCGGACTCTTCCCGCAACCTTCATCGCCGACGCGAAGACGCGGCCGTCGTCGACGTCGGGATCAGCATCGGCGCCCGCGCTGGCCGCGCCGTCGTCGTCGTCAACATCGCCACAAGCACCGCTAGTGTCATCGTCGCGGCCACCGTCGTCGACGTAGCCGCGGTGCCGCGCCCGCCCAAGCCGCCGACGCGCACTGATGTGCCCGCTGGGACGTGGCAGGCGGTCAGCGCCACCGCGGCCGCGTCGGCCGCGCCAAACTAGCTGGCCGCCGCGCGCGCTCGCGCGGGCTGTCGCGGCCGCGGAGATGCACCAGCGAGCGCCGCGCGCTCGCGGCAATCGCCGCCGCGCGGGGCCCGTTAACCAAGTGGCGGGCGGGCGGACGGGATGTTTGCGCGATGAATGGAGTGGGCAACTTCAAGATGAGCATTGGACTGCGCCGCGCAGATTGCACCGCAGAGACCGCGCCACACACATTGCCCCAAAAAGGTTGGACCACCCAACATTCCATGCATTGCATAACTTAGACTACGCAATATTTACTGCACCGCGCCGGTTCCGCATAATATCGCCCCAGAAAGATGGCACAACCTACATTGCACAGCATCATTCGCATCATATAGATTCCCAATTTTCATGCCAAAAAATATACCTCCCCCCGCGCCGCCCCGCCCCCCGGGGAAAATCACCTCCCTTTTTGCCTTGCTATTCACGGCTGGTTCTGCCCGCCCAGTCGCCCATCCGAAATGCGAATCCACGCCGCCCCAGGGGAACCGACATCGCCCCCCCCCTCCGCCCCGCCATCCTCTGCAAAAAGCTAGTATGCACGCGCGCTGGTTGATCACAAGCCATATGTGTCTACGGGTGCCTTGCGACAAATGTACCGGAGTGCACGCGCGCCAGTCGTCGCGCGCGCGTGCCAAAATCCTTCAAAACCTGCGGTTTCGCATTGATTTGCAAATCGGGCGTCCAGGCCCGCGCGACAACTCAAGGTTTCGCAGCGTTGGTATTCGAATAAAGCTCGCGCGCGCGCCCCTGCGAATGTTGGGCAACGCCGCTGTTTTTTTTTTCTTTTTTTTCAACGTGTTCATGATATTCTACCAGACAGGCTTCGCGCGCGCATGTCGAAATCGCGCGAAGGCCCTTGCGCGCGCTGTCGCGAGAGCCCTCTGCTAAAAAACGGCGAAGTGCGCGCGCGCGCCGTCGCGCGCGCATGCCAAAACCCGTCAAAAACCTTCGGTTTCGCAGCAAGTTCAAAACCGCGCCCCAAAAACCAAAAAAGACATACATGGATTCGCAACATAAGCTGTTCACCAAAGCATGCGCCCGCGCTCCTGCGAGCTCTTGAGAAAAACCATCGGTCTCTCAACAGGTTCACGGCATATCTGCCAAACGGGCCTCTGGCGCCGCATGCCGACATCGTTCGCGGGCCCTTGCGCGCGCGCTGGTGGGGCGCAACCCGCGTTGGAGAATGCCGCGCGGCCCGCTCTCGCGCGTCGGCCGCGCGCGCGCGCCGAACCCTTTACCAGACCTTCCCCACCGACGCGAAGACGCCGTCACCGTCGGCGGCGCGAGCAGCATCGGCGCCCGCGCTGGCCGCGCCGTCGTCGTCGCCAACATCGCCACCAGCATCGCAAGTATCATCGCCATGTCTACCGTCGCCGACGTTGCCATGATGCCGCGCCTGCCCGCGTCGCAGACTCACGCTGAAGTGCCCGCTGCGGCGCGCCCGGCGGCCACCGCTGCCGCGGCCGCGTCGGTCGCGCCAAACTAGTCGGCCGCCGCGCGCGCGCGCGGGTCGGCGCGGCCGCAGAAACGGACCAGCCAACGTCGAACACTCATCGCATATGCCGCCGCGTGCGTTTTGCAAACCAGGTCGCGGGTGGGCGGGCGGGGCGGTTGCGCGAGCAGTGGGGGTGGTCCAGTGGTCGAGCGCGGCGCAGGGTAATCGATGGCACCGCGTAGATTGCAACGCGTAGGAGCGCCCAGCACGGCTTGCAAAACATATAGTGCACCACTTAGACCGAAACACATCGCTTGCGCAACATGGATTGAACCACGCGCATCACACCGCGCGTATTGCATAGATTCGCATGTCTGAAGAAAGAAGACTGATCCCTCCCGGACCTAACGGCACCCCTGCGTTCGCATTGCGATGTGCATCTGGATCTACCCCCCGACAACCCGAAAAACGAACTCAGATCGTCCAAGGCGAGCTGGCCCACCCCCCCGTCATCATCTGCAAAATGACTACGCGCACGCACTCGCGCATCACAAATCGTGGGTTTTCACAACCCCCTTGACAAAAAATGAAACGATGTGCGCGCGCGAGCCGTCGCGCTCGCATGCCGGAACCCTTCGCAACACCTTAAAATTTTCGCGGGCGGCTCAAAGCCGAGTGTCCCGACATCGTGCAAACATGGTTTCGCAACGCGTATCTACGAAACAAATCTGCACTCGCGGTCTTGCGGCTTCTTGGAAAAAGCCGAACGTTTCCCAAACGCTCGCAACAAGCTACGAAATGGGCCCCTCGCGCGCGCATGTCGAAATCGCTCGCGCGCCCTTGCGCGCGCTGTCGCAATAATCCCTTGCACAAGAAAACGGGACGACGTGCACGCGCGCGCGTCGTCGCGCGCGCGTGCTAAATTCTTCAAGGACCCTTAGGTTCCACGCGGCATTCAAAATCGAGTGCCTCGAGAAAACATATAAGAACACATGGTTTTGCACCATCGAATTTCCACAGAAAAACTGCGTTCGCGTTCTTGCGACTTCTCTGCGAAACCAAAGGGTGTTCACCATGCTCATGGAATGCTGCCAAACAGGCCTGTCGCGCAGAGATGACCACATAGTATGAACGCCCTTGCGCGCGCGCTGGGGGGCAAGGTCCGCGTCAAATAATATCGCGCGGGCCACTCTCGCGCGTTGGCCGCGCGCGCACGTCGAACTCCTTCCGCAACCTTCATCACCGACGCGGGGGCGCCTTCATCGTCGCTGGCGTAATCAGCATCGGAACCGTCGGTGGCCGTGCCGTCGCCATTGTCATCATCGCCACCAGCGCAACTACTATCGTCATCGTGTCTACCGTCTTCGACGTTGCCATGATACCGCGCCCGACCAAGTGGCCGACTCGCACTGACGTGCCCGCTGGGAAGCACCCAGCGGTCAGCTTTACCGCGGCCGCGTCGGTCGCGCCAAACTAGTCGGCCGCTGCGCGGGCATGCATGCGCAGGCTAGCGCGGCCGCAGAACTGCACCAGCCAACGCCAAACATTCATCGCAATCGCCGCCGCGTGAGTTTGGCAAAACAAGTTGCAGGCGGGTGAGTGTGATGATTGCCCGGGCAGAGGAGCTGACAACTCCGAGTTCCATAAGTGAATTGCACCACATAGCCTGCACCACATATGTTGCACCACGTAGAGCGCACGACATTGATTGCACCACTTAAGACTGCATGCCCCACATAGTATGCACAGCTTAGGTTGAACCACGAACCTTGCACTACACGATGTTGTACAACACATATCGCACCACGTACAATGCACAGCATGTATTGCACTACGTACAATCTGACACATAGGGTGCGCATTCTCGATGTGATGTGTCACTATCTATGTTGTATCATCTAGACCGCACCACATAGCTTGCGAAACATCGGTTCGATCGCATAGATTGCACCACGTGGAGTGCACAATACATATATATATATGTATATATATATGTATGACGCGGCATGGGCTACACAACGTGGGGTACACGACATATATAGCACCACATAGAGTGTACCACGCATATTTTGAGCAACGTATATCCCACTACATCACTAGCTAGCAACACACTGTGTTGGGTCCACCCTGGTTGCCATTTCGAAGATTCCATTAACGGTCGCCCGGGGTGGGGGGCCGGGAACGGTGACGCATTGGCGAGGTGGAGCACGTCGGAACGGGTTTGCGCTGCGATCGCCGTGGTACGCGCGGGAACACCAGCATGTTGAGAAAAGGGTCTTACCCCCCCCATGTAAACAACGGCTGCTCATCAGCCGGAAGAAGTAGGTAGAAACATGAAGTAGGAAGGCGTAGAAAGTATATTGGGATCCGTCCGCCCCCGTGGGAGGACGGACAGTGTGAAGCCACTCGATCATTGAAGTGGCAAGGCGCCTATTTTTAAAAGAGATTGGGATCTGAAAATCCAAAAATACCTACTTCCAACGACCGATCAACATCGCTACCGAGGAAGGGGGGAGGCCCAGGCAACAAGCGTTACGAGGGAGGAGGAGGAGGAGGAGGAGGAGGAGGGGGAGGAGGAGGAGGAGGAGGAGGAGGGGGAGGAGGAGGAGGAGGGGGAGGAGGAGGGGGAGGAGGAGGGGGAGGAGAAGGAGGGGGAGGAGACGCGCGAGACGATCAACAGAAACAATCTCTCCCCCACCCCACCCCCGCGGCCCCCCGAGGGCGGCGCACCAGGGGCCTCGCCTGGCCACGGCCACTCGTGACGCGCCACCGCGCCTCGCCCCTCCTCGTCGCCGCCGGCCGGCGCCTGCAGCACGCTGGCCAGCCTTAGGGTTAAGTCGGGCCTGTCGCCCTACAAGGGGATTCTCGACGGAAAAATGAAAGGTACCCCAAAAATAAGATTAAAAACATCATCCAAAAATAGTCTGTGGACTATTCTTTGATATATTTTCCCTTTTTGGAGCATGTTTGGCATGTTTTAATTTTTTTGCGAAAATCCCCCTGTAGGGGGACACGCCCGACTTAACCTTAGGGGAACCACGAAGGACATAAACGTAATTCGGGTCGGGCGAAAGGGGGGGATAGCAAAGGGGGGTTTGAGAATCAGCTCACGTGGCTGATTTTCCCAGCGCCTCCCGGCGCTGGAGGCGGCTATGTATCGAGGAATGGGACCCTCGGTGAGGCCGAAACTTGGACGCCCGAATTATCCGGGGTAACTCGGGTCCGGGGTAACTCGGGTTTGGGTTTCCGAAAAACCAACCCGAGTTAGCCCTGACCCGAGTTACCTCTGATGATTCGGGGCTCTGGACGCCCGAAATATCCGGGGTAACTCGGGTCCGGGGTAACTCGGGTTTGGATTCCCGAAAAACGAACCCGAGTTATCCCTGACCCGAGTTACCCCTGATGATTCGGGGCTCTGACAAATGTCGTAACCCCCTTTTTCCCAATCCCCCCCTTTCGTCCCGCCCGAAGAATTGAAGACTCGGAGATCCGCGCGGACCTCCGACTGCTGCTGGTCACGCCATCTTTTCGCTCCCCTGAGCCTGCCGTTCAGCTCGGGCCTGCCGCGGAGCCCCGCGAGCGCGACGCTGTCGCCAACGCCCCAGCGGCCCAGGGCCTCGGCGCTGGCCTGCCTCTCCGCGGGGCCTGCGCTCGCCGCGCCGGCGGCCGCGCCGCTGCCGCTGCCGCTCGAGCCGCCCGACGCGGCAGGCGGCAGACCCCCCTCGGCGCCCGGCGCTGGCACCATGTTGCCCCGCCGCACCTTTCGGGGGGACGAAAAATGGCACGTGTCTTTTGTGTGTATGTCATTCTTCGGTCCCCTGATGTTGCCCCGCCGCACCTTTCGGGGGGACGAGGGATGGCACGTGTCTTTTACGTGTATGGCATTCTTCGGTCCCCTGATGTTGCCCCGCCGCACCTTTGGGGGGACGAGGGATGGCACGTGTCTTTTACGTGTATGGCATTCTTCGGTCCCCTAATGTTGCCCCGCCGCACCTGAGCGGAACGTAGAATAGCGTATGTATGTTATGACTCTGGTTTTTCATGTTGCCCCGCCGCACCTTGAGGGAAACGAAGAATAGCATATGTCTTTTATGTTTATGGCATTCTTCGTTCCCCTAATGTTGACCCGCTGCATATGTAGGGGAACGAAGAATGACATGTCTTTATGTTTGTGTCATTCTTCGTTCCCCTAAAATTGCCCCGCCGCACCTTCTCTTTTGTTTGCCGGCGGTAGTAAAGGAACGGAGAATGACATAGACATAAAAAGTCGGAAGTCGGCGCAATTTTCTGGAATCCGCGCTGGTGCCCCCTGGCGGCGCCTCCGGCGCCGCCCATGGTGCGCTCCGCGCGCCAGGGAGGGGGGTCCAGCGCGGGTCCGAGAAATCCGCGCGGACCTCCGAGTTTGTATGTTTATATGATGGTTCGTTCCTCTAATGTTGCCCCGCCGCACCTGTTCTTTGTTTGCCGGCGGTAGTAAGGGAACGAAGAATGACATAGACATAAAAAGTCGGAAGTCGGCGCAGTTTTCTGGAATCCGCGTTGGGGCCCCCTGGCGGCGCCGGAGGCGCCGCCCATGGTGCGCTCCGCGCGCCAGGGAGGGGGTCCAACGCGAACCCGAGAAATCCGCGCGGACCTGCGAGTTTTTATGTCTATGTAATTATTCGTTCCCCTGATGTTGCCCCGCCGAACCTCTTCTTTTTTCTGCTGGCGACACGTCGACGAGGCTGCAAGTCGAGTGCGATCGGCGCTGCTACTGCACTTTGAGGTTGCCCCGCCGCACTTGTTTGCCCTTTGCAGGCGGTACGTCGTTCAGCCAAGTCGAGTGCAGTCAGCACTGGTACTACAATAGAGATCCGAATGGTGCCTAGACAAGCTTACCAAACATGCCCTGAGACTCTAGCGTTGCAATTCTTTCACAACGGGCGTTTTCGCTCGGCCTCGGGCACCAAGGCCATCACATATCGATCCAGCCTGGAAAATGGTGAAGAAAAATGGGGCCTGGGGCTCTGGTCGTGATTCTTCACGATGCTGCCATTTGTCTGCAGCGTCCCGGTATTGCCCGCCGCACCGCCAGTCAAAATATACTGTTAGGTCGGGCATGTCCTCCTACAGGCGGATGTTGGTCGAAAAATCTAACATCATCAAAACAAATTCAGACTTGGTCACAAAACAATCAACAAATCGTCCCCAGACTACCTTGTGACCAATTTTGCATATTCCTCCTGTAGAGGGACAGGCTCGACGTAAATCTACAGGGAGGCACGGCGGTACAAGGACGCAGGGGCCCTGGCCGCCGAAGATGGCACGCTTCAGGCGGCGAGCTGCCAGCAACCCCGCGGCACAAGGGCACCCGATACGCAGAAGGCACCTCTACACCACCACCCCTCCTGGCCAGGGCCATCCTGGGCCCTGTCTCGCGCCGGGTGAAAGGGGGGGATAGCCAAGGGGGGGTTTGAGAATCAGCTCACGTAGCTGATTTCCCCGGCGCCTCCTGGCGCCGGAGGCGGCCATGTATCGAGAATGGGCCCCTCGGCGGGGCCGAAACCAGCTGCACGCAGCAGAGTTCGTAACCCCCCCTTTCCCTATCCCCCCCCTTTCGTCCGGCCCGACGGGCACGGTGGAATACGCCACCGTGGGGCCCGGGGTGGCCCTGGCCGGGCACGGTGGTAGTGTATGGATGGCATCCGGGTGCCCCAGCCCAACCCCGTCCTTGCCGAGCGGACGTCGGGACCAAGCGCAAAATCAGCGCACGGACGCACAGGCACCCAAGCGAGAATCGCGAGTCCGCATGCGGATACTGCACAGGGTCCGGCCTGAATAAGGAACACCTGTTTTTCAAAAAGGGCTCGGTCGTTCCTTGGGTTAGCATTAGTTCCGCTACCTTTTTGGCGGCGGGACCCCCTGGTGATTCTTCGGATTTTCTAGATTCACTTGGAAAAAAGGGGCTTCGTTCCTTATTCATCGTTCCTTAGGTCAGGCCGAATACTGTACGAGACATGCCCGCGCCGTCAAGAAGAAGAAACGAATGAACGCAGGAATAGCGCCCCCCGCCCCCCACATGAGGAACTTGAGACTAAGGAGGCGGCCATGGCCTCGCTGAATCACAGAGGGCGCCTGCACTTGCGCACGTTCGCCCAAAACATGCAAAACGTTGACATCTGAAGTCAATATCTGTCGGGGGCTTGGGTCGGTTTCCCACTGGACGGGAGGTCTTTGGCAATTCTCGGCATCTGGGTCCCCTGAGGGGCAACGATAGGGGGGGATAGGGATAAGGGGGGGGGAAACATCGACCTGGAATCGGCGATATATCGGCGATACATCGGCGATAGGCCCCCGATAGTGAATCCGCACCTTCCCGGGGAGGTTGGGGCTATTGGGCCCCTATCGGCGATCAATGGGCGATTGGGGGTCGATGCATCCCCCCCTATGCCTATATCCCCCCCTATCCTTGCCCCTGGCCCCCTCACCGGGCCCGGAAACTTCCGCGCACCGGTTACGGGGAGAGGGTCGGGACTTCCAGGAGGGGGGGCCAGAGGCCTGCGCCGATCCCAGACCCCCGACGCCGTGATTTGTTTCCAGGGGCCCTGGGACACACAAACAAATGCACCCAAAATCATGATCCTCCATATTTTCATATATTTTTGGGTTTTTGTCGTCCCCCCACTTCCCATAGTTTCCCGTATTTTCCTGGGAATGGACGATGAATTGCGTCTGTGTTTTTGTCCCCTCCTGATTGTGTGTCACAACGTCGACCCTTCCCTGGGAGTGGTTTGCCATTCTGAGTCATTTTCAGACGGCCCCGAGGCCGGGCGAGGGCCCCCAGAGGCTGAAGACAGGGGAAAAAAAAACATCCCGTCGTGACTTTTTCCCAAAACACGAGGGGGCCTGGGATCTGCCAGCAAAAAAAAACGTGTCGCCCCGCCGCACCGAGAGCTGCTGGCCCTCCGGCGCCAGCAGCACCAGGTACCGCCCCTCCTCGTCGCCGCCGGCGGGGGCCCGCAGAATGCTGGCCAGCCTGCCGTTCAGCTCGGGCCTGCTCCTGGGGGAGCCAGGGGGTGCCGACGCCGCTATACCCCCAGGCCTCTCTTCGGAGGTCGAAATCCAGGAGAAACCACCAGACTGCAAACCTCAGATCCTCGGATCTCTGGGACAGAAGCCGCTGCCGCTCCGGGACGATGTCTGCTGCTGCACATCGTGCCCATGCTCGCTGGCCCCAACTCTTCGGGCGTGCCCGACGCGGCTCGCGTGCCGCGGCTGGCCGGCCGCTGCGGCGCAGTTGGGCGGCTGCGGCGACGGCTCATGGGCGAAGTCGGGGGGGGCCAGTCGATAAAACGGCGGGCCTCCTCGCCATCGCTCGGGATCATTCCCCGCGCAGTTTTCGATTCGTCCGCACTTGACGCTGCCAGATGATCCAAGATGCTCCCCGATGGTCCTCGACTAGGGGAAATGACATTTTGTTTGGTTGTTTCTTGGCTGCTTGGTTGATGAAGCTCCACGGCGAGCGGTATGTGAAGGCAAGGCGCTTCACAAACTACGCGACGCGGGGCAGTGCGAGAGGGAATTGCCGAGCAAACGCGCAGGAGGCGCGCTGCGCCTCCAGGGCACGTGGTCACAAAGCGGCCAGCCGCTCCGATGGCAGGCGAGGCTCGCCTCTCGAGCCCTCAGCGTCAGGCTCCTATATGCCGCCACGCTGGTTCCGGGCAGGCTGTGCTGTCCGGCGGAAGGGAACGAGGAGGGGAGAAGCAGGCAGACGACGACGAACGCCCAGGCGGGAGGCCAGGGCCGGCGGGGCGGGCGGGCAGGCAGAAGACGGGCCAGGCGGAGACAGCGGAAAGGCAAGGGAGGGAAGCAACGAGCAGAAGCGAAGGGAGGGGGAGGAGGGGGAGGAGGACAAGGAGGACAGAAAGCAGCGGCCGCAAGCAGACAGGCCGGGCCAGGGGCCGGGAGAGAAGAGCCGCCCGCGACGAGGCTGCGGACCCTACGGCGGCGACCTGGGCGGGGTGGCCGCCCGAACCCAGCGCGATGCGGCTTGGTGGGGATTGCCCTTTGCGGGATCCATCCACCGCCCCGCCGGGGAAAGGCCGGGCGGCGCGTGGGAGGGGTCGCCGGCGCGACGTTGGCGAAGGGGCGAGGGGGGCGCCCGCGCTGCCCAGCAAGGGCGGGGGGGGGGGGCGGGGGGCGCTAAGCAGCGCAGGGAGCACCTCACACGGCGTCTGCCGTGGAGGCCGCCGTGGCCGCGGCCAGGCGGGCCGCTGCCACCCCCGCCCCTCCAGACAGGGTCTGAAGGCGCCGCAGCACCGCCCGCGCGTTCTCCCCGTGCAGGGAGACGGAAAGTCGCTGGGCATGTTGGTCCGCAACCAGTGCGGCGTTTTCCCCCGTGGCGTCAGCCACCCGCTTGGCCAGGACCCCGAAGGCCCTGCGTGCCTCGCGGCCCCGCCCGCCGCCGTGGGCTTCCACCACCATGGGGAGGAAAGTGAAGCCCTGTGCCGCGCAGAGCCGCGCGGTGTCCTGGTGCTGCCTTTTGAACTCCTCGTACCGCTCCGTCGCTGCGCTTGACAAAGCGGCCGGTGCGGCGAGGAGATCGGCGCGCAACCCAGACGTGGCGGCAAAGTCCCAGGCGGCCGCCGCGCCGTTGCGCCACCGCGGCAGGTAGACGTCGGCAGGGCGGCGGCCGTTGTCGTCCACCTGGGACCCGCCCTGCTCGCCCCCGGGGGTGGCCTCCCCGGCGGGGCGCGCGGGTAGCAGCCCCGGGCGCTCCAACTCCGCCCCGGCATGGCCGGCGGCCAGGGCGTCGAAGAAGGCCTGGTTGCGCAGGGCGTTGTGGCGTCTGGCCCGGTCGCCGCGGCAGGCGCAGACCAGCGCGCGGTCGCAGAAAACGCCCATCACCTCGCCACAGGCTGGGCAGAAGCACTCCTCCTGCAGGAGCTGGACTCGCAGCCGCCTCTGCAGGCCGACCTGCATGAGGCCGCGCGGGAAGGCGGTGCCGGTGGCCTCGCAGGGCGGCGCCTGGAGCCACGCGGCCGCGCCTGGGGCTTGCACCAGAGAGAGGTGCGCCTTGCCGGCCAGGGTGGAGCCCGCCAGAAGTCCGTCGAGCGAGGCGCTGTCCACCGCGTCGGAGAGGGCCTTCTGGTTGCCGTGCTGCGCGTGGTCGAACACCACCCGGTCGGCGTCCCGCACGACTGCGTTGTGGGCCTGCACCGCAGCCGCCAGGCTACCTCCGTCGCGGTCGGGGTTGTTGGAGTAGCCGGGGTAGAGCTGCCGACAGAGGTCGGTGCTCCTCGCTCTGGAAGCGACGTAGGCGGCGGCGGCGTGCTTCGCGGCAGAGCGCAGGCCAAGTCCTCCCTTCCTGGGCGTTAGCTGAGCCTGCTGCCAAGAAGCGTCGGAGGGCGAGCAGCCGCTCAGTTGCTCAAGGCAGGCCCGGACAGCGTCGCCCATGGCCAGCGGGGAGGCGGCACGCGCGGTGGGCGGCACCACGCGCGCGGAGTAGCCCAGCTTGCAGAAGGAGGCGCACTGGCGCAGGAGGTGCAGCGCGACCTGCGCGTTTTCGAGCTCCCCCAGAGCTTCCAGCAAGTCGGTGGCGCTCGCGACCCGCTGCTTGGTGTGCTCCGCGCAGAAGTCCGCGTCTCCCACTGGCGCGCCGAGCAGCTCGAAGCTGCGATCGGTGCGGAGGCGGAAGCCCGGCGGGAAGCCGTCCAGAGACACGTCGGAGGCGTCTCCGCCAGTGGGGACCACCTCACACTTGCCCGGGCCGGTGCTCAGCTGGAGGCCCACCGCGGCAAGGCTGGCCACGAGCAAGTGGAGGAGGCGCGCGACGGCCGGCGCGTCGCCCGCGAGGCAGCCGTCGTCCAAGTTGAAGAAACTCAAGTCGACGGCGCCGTCGGCGCCGTGGCGCGGCGCGCGAAGGGCGGCCTCGGCGGCGCGCTGTAGTGCTAGGGAGAACAGTAGGGGCCCCAGGGGGTCGCCCTGCTGCACCCCGCACTCGGAGCGGACTGTCTGTTTGCCCAGGAAGAGAGTTGACGGGCGGGAGTAGCACCAGTCGGCCCAGGGTGCCAGCCCGGGAAACTCTTCGTGGACCGCGCGGAGCAGAGCCTGCCTGTCCAGGGCGTTGAAGGCGCTAGACAAGTCCAGCTTCACAAACACCTTTCCCTGGTCCCCGAGGTGGCGGGTCCACCACTGGCGCGCGACGTGCACCGCCGCCTCGGTGCCGCCAGGGACCGCGACGCCGATCTGGAGGGGAGCCAGTCGGTCGCGCGCGGCGTCGGCAACCTCGTGGCAGAGGCACTTGCCGACGAGGCGCCGGAGCACCTCCCCGACGGCAACAGGGCGCAGGCCTCCGTCCTTCTTCGGCAGGGCCACGAGAGAGGCGCCTGCGAAGTACTCGGACACGGTCGGCGGGGCCCGCCCCCTGGCGCAGAGGTTGACAAGGTTCCGGAGCTGGTCGGCGACCTCGTCCCTGTGGGCCGCGTTGAGCAGTGCGTCTTTGAGGTGTTGGGGTCGGAGGCCCGTTGGCCCGGCGGCCGAGCCCCGGGGGAAGGCCCGCACCTCCCTACGGACCGCGCCCCCGTCCATCTGCAGGGCAGCAGCCGCGTGGACAGCCGGAAGGCTGGCGGGGTCCACAGCTTGGCGGCTGCGCGGGTGCTTCCGGCTCATCTGTTCGACGACGTCGGGGGTGACCTCCACGGGCGGCTCGCTGATCAGAGCCGAGCAGCTCTTGGAGTACTGGGCGTCTGCGGCGAGCTGCACGCACCTCTCCGCTCGCTGGGAGGCTTGCGAGGCGTGCTTGGCAGCGCGAGCCTCGACTGCCTCGGCCCACAGGGAGGCCCGCCCCCCGTCCAGCCCGCGCCGGCACAGCGCCTTGGTCTGCGCTTCGCCGGCCGTCCTGCTGCCTCGGCCGCCACGGGTGTGAGGGCGCAGGACGCATTTCGGGAGCATCGCAAGCTCTGTCCACGCAGCCTCGCAATTGTTGTGCACGGTCTGGGCCACCGTTTGCCCTAAGCACCGTGCCCAGAGGTCCCGGGCGCCCTTCGGGACGTAGCGCTTGGTGGAAGGGCGCTTGGAGAAGGCTTCCCGGAGGGAGGGGAGACCCGCGGGCTCGCTGTGCGTTTGGCCGCCAGCGGCGGGAGCGGCGGCTGCCACGGCTGCGGCCGCGCGCGCGGCAGGGCGGCAACGCGGGCAGATGCCGCCGAAACGCGTCGACAAAAACCGTTGGCAGACCGAGCATTGCTCCAACCGGTGCTCTTGCAGGTACTCGGGCGGGACTGGTGGCAGCCCAGGGAACCGCCCGGCGGCGTGCTCGTTCAGGTGCGGGCGCATGCTTCGGTGGCCCCCCCAGCCGGCGGAGGACGCGGCGTCGCCGCGCGGGCACCCAGGGACGGGGCAGTGCACCCGGACGCGGGCACGAACCCTGCATTGGTGGGCAGGATCGGGCGCCGGGGGAGGGGGGGCAGGTATCTCTTGCCCGGCTGGCGGCGCTGCCTGTGGAGCCCCGGGCGGCGGGGCGCCCTCCCCAGGAGCGCTGGCCGGGGGGCGGTTGAGAGCCTCGGCCCGGCGCTGTTCCTCCAAAGGAATCCCCGCGTCCACATGCATGTCCCTGGCAGGGTCGAGATTCAACCCGCCGAGTCCCACGACCAGGAGCGGCTCATCCCCATCAGTCCGGTTGCGCCGGAAGTGTCGCCCAGGGGAGCGAACCTCTGGCCCCGCCTCGACAAACGTGTTGCTCACGTGGACCTCCTGCCTCGCTGGGCCCGCAGAGGCAGAGGAAGCCGCCGCGGCGCTCGGACGCTGAGGGCTGCGGGAACCGCCCCGCCGGCACGTGCACCGATTAGTCTCCCATTGGCACGTGGCGCAAATGCCATCCGAAGCGGGGAAAGCAGGCGTGGTGACCGCCCGAACGAGGAGGACCACCTGGCCGGCCCAAGCAGCGGGGCTCGTTGGGCAGAACCACGCTGGGCTGAGGGCCGCCGTGGAAGCCAGCGTCAAAGCCTCGCACAGGGGGCGTCGGACGTGGAAGTCGTGAGCGAGAGCCGTCGCACAGATCGCTGCCAAGCCCCGCTGCGCGGGTCCGCCGTGCACCATGGCCCCATAGACGACGACCTCGAGAGAAGCTGGGGACACGCAGGCGGAGGCGAGGAGCAACGCCGGGTGCACGGGGACGGGAAGCGCCGCCCCGAGCGTGGAGCTCAGGACCTGCCCCGTCACAGCCCATAACATGACCGAAGGAGCCACGATTGGGAGAGCTGCGAGGAGCGCGGGGGCTCGTTGGAGGATACTGTGCACCCCACCGAGAGCGAGTGAGGCCCCATGCGAAAGGCAGCGCGCTGGCCATTGAGAGTCGGGAGATGGGAATCCACATGGGCACGCAGAAGTGCATGCCGCTCCCGACGCGCATGCGGCGCAAGAGCGGAGGTGCTGGTGAAAGTAAAGCTCGGCTGAACTAGTGTAGTGGCCTCGTGGGGGCTCTGGTGTAGCGCCCAGGAGCTGGTCCTCGCAGTCGTGGGAGCCGAGCCGGTGCTGGTGGTAGGAATCGCCGCATCGGCGGTGGTTGCCGCTGTAGTGTTCGTGCTCGTGGCAGTCGTAGGCATGCTGGTTGCACAGGTGGTCGTGCTGGTTGCCCGTGTCGCTGGTGCTGGTCGTCCGTGTGTGGTTGTGCTGATTGCACTGGTTAATTATGCCCGTGGTGATGCTTGTAGTGCTGTTTGCACTGGTTCGTGCTCGGACTCGTCGTCGTAGTCGTGCTCGTGCCGGTGCTGTCGTGGACAGTGGCGTAGGCTCTGGCGTTGGTGCTGTCGTAGGCGCGGGCGTTGGCGCTGGCGTCGATGCTGGCGCTGGTGCTGGTGTAGGCACTGGCGTTCATGCCGACCGAGGCGCCGGCGTTGGTGCTGTCGTCGGTGCTGTCGTCGATGGTGGCGTAGGCTCTGGCGTTGGTGCCGGCGTAGGCGCGGGCGTTGGTGCTGGCGTCGATGCTGGCGCTGGTGGTGGCGTAGGCGCTGGCGTTCATGCCGGCGTAGGCGCCGGCGTTGGTGCTGCCGTCGGTGCTGTCGTCGACGGTGGCGTGGGCTCTGGCGTTTGTGCCGGCATAGGCGCGGGCGTTGGCGCTGGCGTCGATGCTGGCGCTGGTGCTGGTGTAGGCGCTGGCATTCATGCCAGCGTAGGCGCGGGCGTTGGTGCTGTCGTCGGTGCTGTCGTCGATGGTGGCGTAGGCTCTGGCGTTTGTGCCGGCATAGGCGCGGGCGTTGGCGCTGGCGTCGATGCTGGCGCTGGTGCTGGTGTAGGCGCTGGCATTCATGCCAGCGTAGGCGCGGGCGTTGGTGCTGTCGTCGGTGCTGTCGTCGACGGTGGCGTAGGCTCTGGCGTTCATGCCGACATAGGCGCGGGCGTTGGCGCTGGCGTCGATGCTGGCGCTGGTGCTGGTGTAGGCGCTGGCATTCATGCCCGCGTAGGCGCCGGCGTTGGTGCAGTCGTCGGTGCTGTTCTCGACGGTGGCGTAGGCTCTGGCGTTGGTGCCAGCGTAGGCGCGAGCGCTGGCGCTGGCGTCGATGCTGGCGCTGCCGCTGGCGTTCATGCCGGCGTAGGCGCGGGCGTTGGCGTTGTCGTCGGTGGTGTCGTCGACGGTGGCGTAGGCTCTGGCGTTGGTGTCGGCGTAGGCGCGGGCGTTGGCGCTGGCGTCGATGCTGGCGCTGGTGCTGGTGTCGGCGCTGGCGTTCATGCCGGCGTAGGCGCTGGTGTCGCCCCTCGAGCTGGCTCCAGGGTCGCCCTCGGAACTGGCGTCAAAGTCTCTTCCGAAGATGGCCCCGGTGTCGCCCTCGGAGCCGAGCGATGCTACGTCCAGGGGTGCGTCCTGACAAGAACTTCGACGCGAATTCAGCCGCGGCAAGTGATCGTTTTCTTACTCGGCGTTCCGATGCTGGGCGGAAGGGAGAGGGAGAGGGGGAGGGGTCTGGCTCCAGACCTCTGCTTGATGCGACTGTTTGCAACAGTGCGTCCTATGTAGGAGACTCCACCTGCTTCAAACAGGCGCCAAAAACAGCCAAGATCTACTCCATGGGAGGGGGTGCGAGGGCCCGCGCCGATCGGCGAAACTAAAATTAAGAATACGATCACCAACGAGGGCAGGGTGGCGGTACATGCACCCTGAGATCCGACGCTGTATACGAAAACAACACCATCGCGACAAACCACGACCGGAGGGAGCACTGGACCCCATCTGTCGGCTGCATGCTTCGAGCCGGATGGATCCGTGAGGGTCCCGGGGTGCAAAATTCCAAGACCCCCGACGTCATGATTCTTTCATTGCCTCGACCCCCAAAGGTCCCGACCCTTTCCCAATGCCCGGCTTTGCATCCTGAGCCGGTGTTTGGATGCTCCCGAGGCCCGGTGAGGGCCCTCAAAGGCCGAAATTTAAGAAAAACCTTCCGTCATGATTGTTTCATTACTCTCGGGAGCGGCCAAGAGGGGGGTGTCCAAGAGGGGGGTGTGCAAATCATGACCGGCGGCATGTGCGCGGCCCAGCGTGGGGGCCAGGGACGTAATGAAGTAAGAAGAGGCGCCATGAAATCTGGGGAACTATCATGGCCCACGCCATGAGATCCACCCCCCCCTAGTCATCACCCCCCTCTTTGCCGCCCCCGATACTCGAGGGGGTCTGGGTTGTGCGAGAAAGCCGGGCTCGACAACTGTGCGACGCCGGGGTCTCGAGCTGTAGCTTCCTCTGCCGAGCTCCGGAGCCCCGTGAGCGCGACGCCGTCGCCGGCGCCCCAACGGCCCGCGGCCCTCCTCGGAGGGAAAGCAAAGGGGAGCCATGGCCAATGATGCTCCCATCGTGCGTAAGGGCCAGATTCCAGAAGTAACTTCGAGCACCCAGAAAGGTATCGAAGCAGTGTCGAACGAGTATCGCCTCCCAGAGCCCAACACGTGAGAACCCTCCAGTTTCGGTACTCTGCTTGTGCTCGAAATTCTTTCTAGCGATCAAGGATCAAGTAGGTCGGAACATTATAAGACCAAGATTGACCGAAGGAACGCGGTGTCGATCTTGGCCACCGTCCATCCTGTTCAGCGCCAACTCGTGGAGAAGACTCGCGAGTCGGCGACGGCCAGCGTGGACCAATGAGACTGAGACTGGCGTCGGAAAGATCCCGCGACCTCTTTACAGGCCTCCTGGACAGGGTCCCGAACATCAAGGGGCCCAAGGACACACAAATAAATCCAAACGAATCCCAGGATTGATTCACCCATATGTTTCCACATGTTCTGGATGCTCGTCCTTCCCCCCCCGTCCCCTATTTTCTCATGTGCTCCTGGGAGTCGACGACTGATTGTGTCTCTGTGTTTCTGCCCCTCCTGAGAAAAGATGGGTCGGATGTGGACGCCCGAAATGGGTACGGAAAAAATGGGTACAATGCCCAACAGCAAACGTTGTTCCAAACCAGCAGCGGCCGCTGTTGGGCAGGCGGCCTGCTGTCTCAGACGGACACAGCCGCGGCGGCGCGGACGGCGAGTCCTGCTCAAAATGAACAGGCACTGCTGCTGGGCACTGTACCGCGGGTTCGTGTCGTGTCGACCCTGGCGTTGGCTTCTGACACCGCGGGGATCCTTCAACCCTGAACGATCGGCCGTTTCCGAAACGTCCAAATCGTCCCGCATCGAACGATTCTGGGCCGCCCGCGGCGTTCAAAGCTGAACGCCGCTGGCGGGGTCGCCGCCGGTCGACACGACACGAACCTACCGTACCCCTTTCGCTCGTGCCGATCGGAGGATCGCACCGCTTCGCCGATGCACCAAAATGAAGGGGCCCCAGGACACACAAATAAATACACACAAATAAAGATATTCCCTATATTTTCCAATATTTTCTGGGTTTTTGTCTTCCCCCCCACTTCCCATATTTTCCCATATTTTCTGGGGAATCGCCGATTAATTGTGTCTGTGAGTTTCTTTCCCTCTTGACGAAGCTGCGGCGCGATGCTCCGACCCCCACCTGGGAGGCGACGGCCCCGAGAGGCCCGCCGGCGGCCCCACCGAGGCAGAGGCGGGCAGAGGCAGCCGCTCGGAGCCCAGAGCCTCCGGCCTCGCCCCGGGGACCCTCCGACCCGGGTCAGTCCAGACCCGGGTCAGTCAGGCCTTGGAGAATCCTGCGATATCTGCAAGATTAGGGGGCCACATGCGAACCCTACCCCTGCCCCCCACGATTTCAGAGGAGCTCCCGAGCGAAGTGAACCCCACCCTCCCCCTCAGAAATCGTGGATGGTTGGGGTAGGGTTCGCATGCGGTCCCCTAGAGATCCTGCACCCAAGCCCGGGTCAGTGCGAAGGAGCCTGCAAAATCCTGCAGGATCCTGCACCCAAGCCCGGGTCCATGCGACCCTGGCGCCGCAGGATCCTGCAAGATCGGGCGCTCTGGCTGACCCCCGTTTGCATTGACCTCCGTCTCAAGGCTCCCGATCCCCCCGCCCGACCCTTCCTGCTGGTCCGGACTGGTGCTAGGCCACCTTGGACTCCCAGCGGGCTCCAAGCGTCTTCCCTCGGCTCCTCCTCCGCCTCCTCCTCTCGGGGGCGCGCAAGCATGGATTAGCGATCCATGGATCTGGCGCGCGGTCGCCAAATCCATGGATCGGGGGAGGGGCCCTCTCCAAAATGCGGCCAGTGCCGCCTCGCTCGGCGGCGGAAATCCGCGATGTCCGATGGAAACGGGACCCGTCGCTAACCCAAGCCCACCTGATCCATGTTTGCGATCGCCGGCTGCTCCTCCTCCTCGGCTCTCCCTCCTCCGCGTGTCCTCGGCTCCCCCTCGCCTCCAACTCCTCGGTCCCTCGGCTCCTCCTCGGCCAGCGACAAAGACAACAACGACCACGACGACAACGACCACAACAATAACAACGACAACGACCACAACGCTGCCATCACTGTCGTTGTGATCGATGTGGTCGTTGATCCTTGTGATCGTTCTTGTCGTTGTCACCGTAATCTTAGGTCGGGCATGTCTCCCTACAGGCGGTTTTGAACGAACAAATAAATACCCCCAAAACGCTCAAACAGACTTCAAGCATGATCGAAAAATTGTCCCCATACCATGTTTGGACAATTTTTGAATATTCCTCACATCGATGGACACGCCAAACTTACCGTAATCGTCGTTTCTTCCCTCAGCTCCTCCTTTTGCGCGGGTCCTCGGCGCGGTCGTCCCCCCCTGGTGAGGGGCAACGATGGGGGGAGATAGGCTTTGGGAGGGAAACCTCGACCTGGAATCGGCGATACGTCGCCGATAGGTTGGCGATGGGCCTCCGATCGTGCACCCGCACCTTCCTGGGCAGGGTGGGTCGATTGGGACCCCATCGTAGAAGAAAAACCAAAACGTAAGCATGGATTTCTTGGATTCGCGCTGGAACCCCCTCTCCTTGGCGCGCGGAGCGCCAAAAGTTTATGTTTATGGCGTTTCTTCTACTTCGAAATGGGCGATTCGGGGTCGATGCATCTCCCGGCCCCTTATTATTTATGGGAACGAAAAATGGCATAAACATAAAAAATCTGAGGTCCGCGCGGATTGCTCGGATCGGCGCTGGACCCCCCTCCCTGGCGCGCGGAGCGCGCCAGGGGCGGCGCCGGAGGCGCCGCCGGGGGGCCCCAGCGCGGATCCGAGAAATCCGCGCGGACCTCCAAGTTTTTATGTTTATGCCACTTTCTGTTCCCCTACTTATGCCTATCCCCCCACATTGTTCCCCCCGACCTGGGCCGTGCAGCGGCACCTCGGCCACGCCCTCGGCCACGCCGGCGCCGGCGGCCGCGCGCACCGCCTCGAGGATGGAGATCGGCGCGGGGCCGGGGGCCACCTCGGGGGGCGCGCACTGCGGGGGCCTCCTCCTCCTCCTCCTCCTTCCTCCTCCTCTCCTCCTCTCCCTCCTACCTGCTCCTGCCCTCCGCTCCTGCTCCTGCTCCCTGCTCCTG